GAGATCCTCTTTTCTGCCTCTGTTGTTGTTGTTGTTGTTATGTGCCGTCGAGTCAGCCCCGACTCATAGCGACCCCTCCTTGGGTTTCCGAGGCAGTATCACTACGGAAGTAGATTGCCCAACCTTCCTTCCGAGGAGTGGCTGGTGGGTTTGAACCGCCAGCCTTCTGGTTAGCAGTCAAGTGCCTTAGGCACTATGCTACCAGAGCTCCCTTTCTGCCTCTAGGAAGGCTCATTTTAAGCCTGGCAGAGTGACAAAACTAAACCAATCCCAACATCAGAGTTCTATACACCTTATTTGCTTGGTCCCATCCATTAATCTGGTGGGAGTTAAAAAGACTTTGGGTAGAAAAGCCATACTAAGTAATTCACTGCACTGCAGTGACCCTACAAGGACCAAGTAGAACTGCCCTGTAGGATTTCCAAGGCTGTAAATCTTTACGGAAGCAGACTTCCCCATCTTTCTCCCATACAGTAGCTGGTGGGTTTGAACCACCAATCTTTTAGGTAACAGCCCAATGCTTTAACCTCAGCACCACCAGAACTCCTTAATCATGTGAATGGAGACTGTTATTTCTTCCTTTCCAACCGATGTGTCTTTTACTTACTTGTTGATGCCTGCTGTTGAAGAAGATAGTAAGAACTGACATCCTTACATTGTCTTCCGGGCTGGGGGAGAATTCAGTCTCTCACCATTAAATATGTTAGCTATGGGCTTTTTTAAAGATACTTTTTATTAGGTTCAAGAAGTTCTATTCCTAGCTTGCCTAGTTTACTGAGGTTTTTTTAAATCTATGATTGGATGTTGAATTTTATTGAATGTTTTTCCTGCGTGTATTGAGATAATCAGTGTTTCTGATACTTTGTTATCTCATGAATTATACTGATTAGTTTCTGAATCTTGTATTCTTGGATGAACTCCACTTGGTTATGATGTGTTAGCCTTATTATTTATTGTCGGAGTCTGTGGTGATATTGTCTCAAGGATTTTTATGTCTACATTCATTCTGGATATTGGTATGTAGTTTTCTAATCTATCATTAGTATGGTAGAGTAATACTGCTCTCATAAAGTTTCTAAGTGTGTCTCTCTTCCTTTTCTATTTTCTGGAAGAGATTGTGTTGTTGTTGTTGTTATGTGCCGCTGAGTCGGCCCTGACTCATAGCAACCCCTCCTTGGGTTTCCGAGGCAGTATCACTACGGAAGTAGATTGCCCAACCTTCCTTCCGAGGAGTGGCCGGTGGCTTTGAACCGCCAGCCTTCTGGTTAGCAGTTAAGTGCCTTAGGCACTATGCTACCAGAGCTCCTAGAGATTGTGTAGCATTGGTATTATTTCTTGCTTAAATCTTCAGTAGAATTCACCAGTGTATTTAGGCATAGAGCTTTTTCTTTTGGAAGGTTTTAAAAACTACAATTTCAATTTCATTGATAACCTTAACAGGATTATTAAGGGTATGTATTTCTCTGGTAGCATAGTGCCTAAGGCACTTGACTGTTAACAAGAAGCCTGGCAGTTCAAACCCACCAGCCACTCCTTGGAAGGAAGATGGGGCAATCTACTTCTGTAGCGATACTGCCTTGGAAACCCAAGGAGGGGTCACTATGAGTTGGGTCTGACTTGATGGCACATAACAACAACATTTTATCTTGAGTGAATTTGAATATTTTGTGCCTGGCAAGGAATTGGTCCATCTAAGTTGTCAAATTAATGAGACATAGAGTTATTTGTAGTGTTCTTTTATTATGCTTTTAATATTTATGGAATCCATAGTGGTATTTTTTGTTCCATTTCTGATTTTGATAACTTATATCTTTCTTTTTTCTTGGTCAGAATGGCTAGAGGTTTATCAATTTTATTGATCTGCTCAGAGAATCGGCTTTTATATCATAATTAATGTTACAATAAAGAGTTGGGCATATAAAGGCCTTTCTGAGGATTCCACAGTATGAAATTAGTGGGTTAAAGGGAATGAACATATTTTTCCCCATTTTATTTATTTATATACTTCAAAACATTACAGAGATAATTTTACTTTAATTTCCTGAAAATGCAAACAAACAATAAAGATAAAATCCTTTTTGGCCACTTGTTCTCCTGTTTTACCCCTGACCCTGCCACCCTTTGGGCCTGTTTATTATTCCTCTACTTTCCTTTTCTAGAGGCAGGCATTATCCTGAGTTTGGTACACACCCTTCCAATTCATTTTTTTTTTTTAAATGTGTCTCTCTCTATATCTACATATAATATATACACACACATTTATTTTAATGACTTTTAATTACAAGCTATTTTAAGGTTAATAATAAAGCTAATGTGATGCCTGCAACAGAAGTCCCTATGTGCATTATTACACAGAGTAAAGCCCAATTATATCACTTCTATGCTTGCCATCAATATTCATATCATATAAATAATCCAGAATGTAATGGGAGATCTGACTCTAATAGCCATCCTAATAATTCATTGCACACCCTCTAGATAATACCATATTGTCTTTCAGGAGGCTATTTTAATTTCAAGAAGGGTAAACGAGATGAATTTCAAGGGGCTGCAGATTCCGTTTGGAACAAAGCAGTGTTAGATTATAGATTTCATAATTAACTCACTCTTAAACTTCAGAAGTCTTACCTAATTCCTGTATAATTGGAGTGGACAATTAAGTCAGCCATTTAAAAAATGGAACTTTGTGAACTAACCCAGATATGTAACGGGCCCTCTGCTTATGTCTGGCTGAGTATGAGAAAATATTTCAGATGATTTGGGTTTGAAGAAGGCTTCCCAGAATTGACGGTGACTGGTCAGGTTGAACAGGTTTCCAGGTTACTGTACAAAAGCCAAATGGCCATGATTTGGCACCAATCTCTTGATTTTTCTGAGAAGAATTTCTTTTTCTTCATACATATTACCTGGCAGCAGCATTCATCAGTCATATTTTCAAGTAGTTAAGTCTGACCTGTCTCATCTTTCTGGGGAAGTCTGACATGACTCTCAAGATGAAGGTTATCTTCCGAAGACTTTCATGGAAGCTAACCTGCTAAACTGCCTCATGAAAAACCTGGGGAAGGACCTGGGAATAATAAAATCCCAGACCAAGATTTCAATCTTTTCTCCATTTCTCATGATGTTGCTTCTTGGTCCAGTTGTAAGGGTTTTTTGTTTTATGTTGAGTTGTAATCAGTCGGAAAGGGAAAGACTATAATCTCTGATCTTCATCAGCAAGTGCTTCAAAGTTTTCTTCACTTTCAGCAAAAAAAGAGGGACCCTTAACAAGATGGATTGACACAGTGGCTGCAACAATGGGCTCTAGCATGGCAAAGATTGTGAGGTCTGCCCAGGACCCAGCTTCGTTTCATTCTGTTGCACCTGAGGTCCCTATGAGTCCACACTGACTCAACCACACCCAACAACAACACACCAAGATTGTTTTTAAACGTTCAAAAATTTTAATTGTTTATTTAAAAATACTATGTTGCTCTTTTAGATCATTTACTACTAAATCACCTGTGGTGAAATACCCTGTTAATTTTTTAGGAAAGAAAGAAGTGCTAATTTTTCCTCAGTTTATTTTGAGTAATTAAGGAGTATCAGAAAGATACTAAAGCATTTACCTATCTACCAACTCTCTCCTTCCCCATCAGTCAGAAGAGAGTGGTGAGGTGCACAGACTTCAGCATGGGCATGAAACAGCCAGTGAGGAACGAGGACAGGCCCTGGGCTTGCAGCACCCTTGCTAAAGGGCTGAGGGGTAGCAAGGAGAAAAAACAAGGTGAGCAGTAAGCCTGATCCAGTTTGGATTTATTTGGGTGCTTAGTGATCAGAGTAAAAGAACTGTGACTATGATTAGCATCCACAAGGCCTTGGTCACAGACCTGTAACCTTCATTAAAAAGCAAGAACACAAGCACACCTACTGTGTCAAGTTCTGGATTTGGTGTTTTGGGCCTCCTTTCCCCATGAAATCTTTGCAGTACTTTTTGGAAAATACATATTACTATTTCCATTCTTTAGATGAAGTTCAAAGAGGTCAGGACACTTGACCAAAAATTAGCCAGCAAATGGGGGTGGGCAAAGAGCCCCTTTTGAAACCAGGCAGGCCTGGCGCCTCTCTTTGCCCAGAGCTGGGTGCAAAGGAAAGTGACTGGGACGATGCTGGGGCTTCGCTGGGCCAGGCTCTGCGGCCTGGGCACTGCGTGACCTTGGACGTCCTGGCAGCATCCCTAGAGGGAAAGCCCTCCCACGCGAAGTAGATGACTGGGAGCACGGTGCAGGCTGGAGATCTACCGACCACCGCAGGGTCTGTGTTCAGAGGACCTCTCAGCCGTGCTGCGGGGGGTGTGTGTATGGAGGTGCCCGCCGAGGCGTCAGGAGCTGGGAACCTACTACCACGCCCTCCTTCACTCGCGCCCAGCCTAGCCAGGCGGCTCGCGAAGGCGCTTGTAGGGTCGGCCCCTGACTGCTTTTCGGGGTGCAAAAGGTTCGCCCTTGAGCTATCCCTGCGGGCACCTCGGTTTTCCACACGGTCCCTAGAGCTCACCCTGCGAGCATGGGGCAGGCTGGGCGTTTATTGCTTATGTCCGGTTCCCTCGGGCCGGTTCGTGGGGGGCGGCTCTCGGGCAGCGTTCAAAGTGGGGTTCCTTAAGGCCCTGCGAATCCAAGACGGTTTTGTCAGGATTGCGCGTCTTTGTGTCGCGGGAAGGGAGGCGGAGAAAGGGGTGCAGGAGCTGCAGCGAGCGCGCGCAGCCCCCCACCCCCTCCCGCCCTCCCGCCGCTGCGCCGGCTGGCCTCCTCCGCGGCAGCCGAGCGCGGCGGGCGAGGGGCGCCCTCCGGCCTGGCGGCGCCTCCTCGGGCCTCCACGGCTCGTGTGCTCTGCCCCCGGCTGCCGGTGAGTGCAGCGGCCACGCCCGCCCGCAGGTGCCGCCGCCGCCGCAGGGAAGGTGCGCGGGGATGATCTCACTCGCACGCTCCGCGCCGGGAGGAGGAGGAGGAGCGGGAGCCCATCCGACTTCCGGGTAGCGGAGCCGCACGCCACGGGCATCTCGCCTCTCCTGCCTCCGCTCCCCGGGCGCCCCTCTCGGCTCCCGCCTCTCCTTCTCGCCCGGCCCCACCCGCCAAAATGAACAGCTCGGACGAGGAGAAGCAGCTGCAGCTCCTCAGCAGTCTGAAGGAGCAAGGTAGGCGCGCGCGCGGGCGCCAGGTGCGGGCCGCGCGGCCCAGGGGCGGGGACGGTCCTGGGCGCCGGGTCGAGGCAGGTGCAGGCAGGCGGGGCCGTGTGGCCGCCGCGGTTACACCTTAGCTGCGCCGCCCGGGGAGGAGCGCCTCCGTGCCCGGCGCCCCCTGCAGATCGCAGGGCCCAGGGTAACGCAGGCGCCGGCTGGAGTGCGGTCGGGCACTGCGGGAGCGCTGCTCTCCGGCAGCCTTAGCTGGCGATCGGGGGTCGTGGGGAAGGCACAAGGATTGGGCGCGGACGAGGTCCTTGTGGCGCCACCTGCCACGCGGGAGAAGCGAGGGAATCGGGGCGTCTTGGGGGCTCGGCAGCCCCGCTGGCCCTGCTCCCAGCCTGGGCCCCACCCTGCACATTTGTTGGTGCTGAGAGGCCTGCCACGCTGCTTCACGCACGCACAGCCTTTCAGCTTTACATTTCTGTTTCTCTAGTTCCTCTGTCCCTGCCCTAGCAGAGATTTTCAGTCTATAATGTATTTTATCACTTCCCAATTGAGCGTTCATTAGTCGGGGAGCCCACATCCTGCCCGTTTTGGGGTCCCTAAATTAACAGGGCTGGCGGTGGGCCACAGGGAAGGCGGGGAAGACAGGCCGTGCGTGCTCAAGCATTTCCACACTTCTCCGTGTGGGGATTATCCGTCAGTAAAAAGCTGTTTCAGTCAATCATTTTCACCAGTTACCACACTTCTGAACAAAGCCAGATCAGGGAGCAAATGGGAACCTAACAGTGTTTCAAATCCCCTGACCAAAGCCTGGTCTGAGAATATAGGTCAAGGAAGAGGGAAGCCATCCAGAGTTAGGAAGTAAGACCATGTAGGAACATGGCTGTTCAGAGTGACTTCTGACATAGGTGTATAGTGGAAGTGCCCCTGCGCTGTGACTAATTCTGGTGTCTAGTTCCAGTTCTCACTTCTCTTGGCTCAGTCAACAGTTCTTTGTAGGAACAAGTCTCTTCCCTTTGGTGAGTCTTGTGGATAATCAAGCCTTACATAACTGAAGGTGAGGGTTAAGCAGGCGGATTCCACAAGGCCCTGTCCAGCACTATGACCTGTTGTTCTCTGAAATCACAGACATACCATTCCTAACGGACACGACACGCTTCTGGCAACACAACTCAGGTTACTGTTTACTAGCTGTGTGACCCTGGGGGGAATTTCTTAACCTCACTGAGCCTCTGTTTCCTCCAAGCAACACATTCCTCTGCAGGATCTGGCATCTAGAAAGTCCTGCATAAACGTTAGTGTCTTTGCCCTTCCCTGTACCTCCCCACCTCCCATCCCAGACTAGCCTAAGGCCATAAAGTCACAAGCATTAGCAAGTCTAGGGAATGGGCAGAATTTGGAATTTCTCATGTGATTTAGTGAGGGGCTAGATTCTATTAGTATTTTAGTTTTCATCTCTCTTGCCCAATATCAGACTCTTGATTTATCTTCTAGAGTTGTGGAGCATTCACTATTGATAGTATTTGTGGAAGGATATCTGATCTTTCGATGGATGGTTAATTTTCAAATAATTAAAAATCTCATATCCTTTTAATCTGTATATAATTGCAAGGGTAAATTAACAATGCTCACTGTCCACAAATTGTTTATATTTTCTTTTGAGGCTAGATTGGATTGAGACTAAGAAAGAAGGGAGGAGTCTCAAGTTTCTGGCTCTTTGTATTGTACTGCATTGTATATCAGATGGTGTTTCACTGCTGCTCATATGGTTTTCACTGGCTAATTCTTTGAGAAGTGGAAGGCTCCTTTCTTCTTCCAAGTCTGTCTTAGTCTGGAAGCTCTGCTGAAACCTGTCCACAATGGGTTACCCTGCTGGTAGTTGAAATCCTGGTGGTATAGCCTCCAGCCTCCCAGCGACACACAAGCCACCACAGTGCAACAACCTGACAGACGGGTGGCGGAAGCATTGCACTGTAAGTGCACCTAACCCATGCCATGGTATTTTCAATCGCCTCATATGCATCTGAGAGCTGGACAACAAGGAAGACCAAAGAAGAGTTGACGCTTTTGAATTGGGTGTTGGAGAATACCAAAAGTACCAGGGACTGCCAAAAGAATGAACAAATCTGTCCTGGAAGAAGTGCAGTTGGAATACTCCTTGGAAGCAAGAATAGCCAGACTTCGTCTGACTTACTTTGGTCATGTTGTCAAAGACCATTCCCTGGAGAAGGATATTATGCGTGGTAAAGTGGAGGGTCAATGAAAGAGGGGAAGACCCTCAATGAGATGGTTGACACAGTGGCTGCAGGTATAGCAAGGATTGTGAGGCTGGCACAGGACGGGGCAGTGTTTTGCTCTGTTGTATACAAGGTTGCTATGAGTTGGAGCTAACTTGACGGCACCTAACAACAACAACATTGCATTGTATTAGAAAACAAACAAAGACATGGCATTGATGCTTTTAGATCTGTTTCCTTGATTGAGGGCATACCAAAGACAATAGAATAGTTAGTCTTTGAAACTGTGTTTCTGAAAAGGTACACAATTCTTTGAATCTGGTTCTAGAGGTGTTGGGATTTTATTCAGTGCACAGTATGATTTTTGTACATCTTAAAACCAGGGCATTCATTTGTCATTAGATCGTATCCTATAAAACTTATTTTGAATATTTAATTGCTGTTTGACCTGTAGCATTAACTGCAAAGCTAAGGCTTTAAGGTGGAAAATCAGACAAGGTGTTTGAGCATGATTACCAAAATTATGGTCAGTTTTATAAACTGATGGCTTATATGCCTAGTTTTTGAAAATATGCCATATTTTTTGCTACTTATTAACATTATAAGTGATTCTTCCACTAGTCCTATTTCATGTAAATAAGAGGAATCATTATTGATTAAATACTCTCTTCCCCTTTTTTTATGGAGCTCTGGTGGCACAGTGTTTAAGGCATTTGACTGCTAACCAGAAGGTTGGCGGTTGAAACCCACCATCTACTCCATGGAAGGAAGATGAGGCAGCCTACCTCCATGAAGATTTACCACTTTGGAAACCCTGTGGGGGTCTCACCATGAGATGGAATTGACTTGATGGCAGTGAGTTTGGTTTTTTGGTTCCCTTTTTGGAGGAGCTCTGGTAGTGCAATGTTCAAGGCATTGGGCTGCTAACCAAAGGTTGTGGTTCAAACCTACCAGCCACTCTGCTGGAGAAAGATAAGGCAGTCTGCTTCAGTAAAGATTTACAGCTTTGTAAACCCAAAATGCTCCTTGGAAGTGAGAATGGCCAGACTTCATCTCACCTACTTTGGTCATGTTGTCAGAAGGGACCATTCCCTGGAGAAGCCTGTCATGCTTGGTAAGGTTGAGGGTTGACGAAAGAGGGGAAGGCTGTCAATGAGATGTATTGACACGGTGGCTATGACAATGGGCTCAAGTATAGCAAGGATCATGGAGCTGGCACGGGATCGGGCAGTGTTTCGTTCTGCTGTGCATGGGGTCTCTGTAAGTCAGAAACGACTTGAGGGCACCTAACAACAACAACAACAAACCCCTATAGGGCAGTTATACTCTGTCCTGTAGGGTTGTTGGGAGTCAAAATCAACTCCGTGGCAATGGGTTTTATTTGTTTTCTCTTTATAACACTGGTAAACATTTATTCCTTCAACAGATACTTAGCAAGTAGCTCTCATGTATATGAACCACGTGCTAAGTATAAGTACTGTAGGTTCACAGTCACAGTCCTTGCTCTTAGCAAGTTTATGATCGAGTGCAAAAGACAGTCATTAATCGACTTACCATACAAATAAGTCCACAGTGACACAGTGTTCTTAACAAGTGTTTTTTCACTAGGATGGATTCTTAGAATTGTTGCATTAGAGGACAGAGCCACATAAAGTTTTGTTGAACATTGCAATAGTGTTTCCCAGAATGGCTGTATGAGTTCATATTCCCACCATCACTGCCCATTCCCCCATGTACTGGTCAACATTGGCTAAGAGCAGTGTATTCATTTTGAGCCTATCAAGTTTCAAAATTTTTGCCAATCTGATGAGCAAAAATGATAACTTTAAAAAAACTGTATTGCCCTGTTTGCTAGTGAGATTTGAAATCTTTTTACATGCTTAGACATTTAGGTTTCATCCTAGCATTCCTTCCTTAGTGAGCTTAAGTCTAACATTTCAACTTCTTCCCCAGGAGGGTAGCTGGAAAGAAGGTTTCTATGTATTCTGAATGGCAGAGCTGACAGCAGCCCTCCCTAATGTGATGCCTTCAGTGGGGGTGGTGAATAAGGTTGCTTTTGACAAAAGTTGTGAAATGTAATGACGGAGTCTGTCATAATATGAACGATCTCTAATTTATACTTACCATTCCCTAGACTCTGTGTCTTGTAAGTCACACCCACTTCTGAATTACTTCAAACATTGTATGTTCCCTTCTAGTGAATGGTATAATTAGCTATATTATGTCTATTTAGAAAGTTATATTATGTCCTTTAAAAAAAAAAAAAAAACTAGCCAGTGTGTGATTGACTATATTCGAGCAGATGTTGAGGTAATGAGGTAATTCTCCTTTTGTCTTTTTGGGGGCTTTATTTTATTTGGCTGATTGACATTTTTAATGTGTAGAGAAATGGCAACTTTGGATCCTGTTTCCGATGGATATTTCCTAGTTACTAAAGTGGACAGTTCCCTTACAAAACATCATACAATTTGCTCCTCCTCCAGAATTTTGTTGCAAAATGATAGACTGACTCTAGCATTTGTTTAAGGTACATGATTGGCTGTGTAATTCATTCAGTACACTTGTGTTGAATATTCATAGCCAGGCACTGTGGTAGGCATCAGAGCTATAGAGATAATTAAGGCCCTGGCCCTGATGAGCAGTTCCTAGGCTAGAGATGGTGACAGGCATGTGTACTCCAGGAAGACAGTCTGAGTGGGCTAGTTGGGGTCATGTACTCGCTTCCTTTGGCTAGGTGAGGGCAGAGCACCTTGGTTGGCATCCCCCCAAAAG